GAATTAGTTTTATTTTTATAGTTTAAATATTCATTTAATTTAACTGTTAAATAGTAATTTGATGTGCTTTTGTCATTATTAATAGCTTATACTTATTTCAGTTCATTTCATTTTCGTTTAAGTTTTTATTCTTTATTTCACGCATTCCTGTGTATTCCAACCAGTCTGTTTAAAGAGTGTTAAAACAATAAAGTTAACATAGCCCTAGGCATCACTGCTAATCATTTCTCTGCTATAGTAATATCGGCACAGTTTCATCATCTCATATGTGTGTAAATGTGTTTCAGGATCGGAGAGGGACGGAGCGGCCGCAGAGCACTCGAGGCTTGGGTCCGGTCAAAGAACATGGGGTTTTGTTTCAGTGCAAACCGGAAAACTGGACGGATCAGAAGAAACCAGCGCCCACCATGACCTACTGGGTTATAGGGTATGTCTGTAAATGCAAAACATAAATTAGCTTAGTTATGTGAGACACCAACATGCATACATCAGGAAAACATCATATTTTCCACCTCTGATTTGCAGTCTCTCGTTTGCGTTCCAGGCGAATGCTCCTCGAACCCGTTCCTCAAGAGTTTTACGTGTGCTTCCATGACTCCGTGGCTGAAGTTCCTGTGGAAATGGCCTTCCGGCTGTCGTTCGGCTTGATCGTGTAGCACTGCAACACGAGCACAGCGTCAGACAGCACTGGCTGCTCTACCATGAGCTTTCTGGGAGGTAAATCCACTATAGACGCGGACAGAAAACTACTGGTTCATGCTTAAAGGATAGTTCACCTAAAAATTAAACTTTTCTGAAAAAACTCACCCTCAGGCTGTCCAAGCTGTAGATGAGTTTGTTTCTTCATCAGATGTGGAGAAATGTAGCATTACATCACTTGCTCAGCAATGGATGCTCTGCAGTGAATGGGTGCCGTCAGAATGAGAGTCCAAACAGCTGATAAAAACATCACAATAATCCACAAGTAATCCACACCACTCCAGTCCATCAGTTAATGTCTTGTGAAGTGAAAATCTGAAACAAATCCATCATTAAGATGTTTTTAAAGGGTTAGTTCACCCAAAAATGAAAATTAGGCTGCGTTTTACTCACCCCTGAGGCATCCTAGGTGTATATGACTTTCTTCTTTCAGACGAATCCAGTCGGAGTTATATTAAAAATTGTCTTTGATCTTTCAAGCTGTTTCATGGCACTCAGCGGGTGTTGCATTGCTTCAGTCCAAAAGAAGTTAAATAAAAATCGCCCATCCATAAAAAAAGTGTCTCACACGGCTCGGGGGGTGAACAAAGGCCTTCTGTAGCGAATCGATGTGTTTTTGTAAAAAAAAATATCCATATTCAAAACACAATAATCACTTTAATGTAGCTTGCGCTCACTGTTGTAAACGGAAGCAGCTCCGGGCGGATGACGTATGAGGTCAGCTTTGCGCATGCGCCGCTCAGAAGTGACGAACGCGGAAACGCAGCGGAGAGATCAAAACAAAACAACGGTCACTAATTAGAAGTACAAAACGAGGATTTGTAAAGAAGAATGTCGGAGGATTTCAATATAAGCCAAGAGGAGAACACCTAGGATGCCTCGGGGGTGAGTAAAACGCAGCCTAATTTCATTTTTGGGTGAACTAACCCTTTAACTTCAAACTATCACTTCTGGCCAAAATATGTGTCTATAATTAATAATAACGTTTCCTCCAGTGAAAAAGTCCATCTCCTGTTGTCTCACATCAAAATCCACCAGCATATATGTTTTGAGCTGTTTTGGACTGATTCGCTTGATCTGTGCGGATTTCTCTCTTGATTCAGACGAGACCACATCTTCACTGGAGGAAGCGTTATTATGGACTCGTATTTTAGCCAGAAGCGACAGCTAAAAACGTCTTTGTTTCTTACAAACACGCAGCTTTTTGCTTTAACTGATGGACTGGAGTGGTGTGGATTACTTGTGGATTACTGTGATGTTTTTATCAGCTGTTTGAACTCTCATTCTGACGCTACATCTTGTGAGAGTAAATTTTCATTTTTGGCTGAAATATTCCTTGTTTTAATCATATGTTGTTGTGGGTTGTGGGTATGAAGGGTTTTGCACAATGGAAGTTAAATACAAACAGCAACGTCTGTAGCAATAAACTAATGAACCGGTCTGATGAATCAGACAATAAAATGCATTGAAATGGTGAAAACAACTTTAATACCTCAGACTATGCTGGAATTCTTCAACGGGCTCAATTGACTTGCTTATGAACACTCGCAGCAGAAAAACTGATCATGAAATTATGTTTTTCACTTGACTTTTCCTTGCTGGATCAAGTGAAATTAGTTTTTTTTTTAAAGCAGCATTTATAACCAAAGCCTTAACAACACTTCTGAACTTTGTGAAATGAAATTTTTTTTGTATTTTATTGAAGGTGTAGAACGTCATGTTCTCCGAAGTTTTGTAATACATTGTTCAACCAACAAATGTGCGTCGTTTATCAAATAAATGAACGCAGATTTACTTCAGCTGTTCTTTATTTCAGTCTTTTTACAAAAATAAGGCTGCGCTCTCAAGTCTGGGTAGTTTGAGCAATATGTCGGTTACATTATTAAACGCAAGAA